CTGATGAAAACTGAGTGCAGTAGGGAATGTGGACTTATGACTAGAGTCCCTGTGATGATTAAGAAACACCCCTTGGGGGGGTCTTTTCAGTTAGGGTACCACAAAATTTAACTTCCTGTATCTAGCATGTAAATTATATACTACAAATTGGTACTGAGGTATTTTGAATGGCAAACAATATAATGTAACATAATATAAGCTTTTAAATATTTTTAAATTATAAAAGGAATGCATGCTACTTGTATAACATTTGGAAAATATAGTGAAATTATCATGTCCTGTGCCCAGCAATTACTTTCACTATAGAAACCATTTTTCATGTGTATGAAACATATTTCATCATATTTATTGTAGCTATTATATATTTTATTATCCTCACAAAATATATTCTTATGGCTGGTTAGATAGATATTTGCCTTACTATATCAAGTTCATTCCTTTGGCCTGAAGGATACACGTGATTGTGCTATCCATTGAAAATTGAACCTTTTTTTGTGATGTAACAAATGATAATTATTTTCTTTTCAATCTCCATGTAAATGAAATGTAAATTGTATTGAGTAAGACCCATGACAGAAATCCCAAGGAATAGATGTATAGAGGAGGAATTGACTAAGGAATTGGATGTTGGGGGTTGAGGATGGAGCCCTTAGTGATGACTTGGACACTTGGGTTGACAGGGAGACTTCCCTTCACCAGTCAACAGTGGAGGGGAATTGGTTATGGGGTGGATTTTTTAGTTAATATATATACTGTTATGTTTGGGAAGTAATTTTCCAGCCTATTTTCTGTGTCTTCTGTTTTTCTTGTGTTGACTTCCTGCAGTATCTCCTAATAAAAATTGATATTTTTAACTTAAAAATGTGTTCTTTTGTACATTAAGGTTATCATTTAAAAGTCAAACTCATGAAGGGATTTTCCATCAACAGAGCTTAAATTCTGATGAAAGTGTTATATAAGGCCTGCCTTTGTACAAAGTGTGTGTGTGTGTGTGTGTGTGTGTGTGTGTGTGTGTGTATATATATATATATATATATATATATATATATATATATATATATATATAAATTACCTTTGGTAGATTGAGAGAAGAAAGGAGGAAAATAAGTGTTATTTTAAATGTTAATGTCAGCATCTTCCTAACTTTTACTGATGTCTGAATTAATCTACAGTATCATATCAGTTTACAGAGGGATAAAGTTGAGTGTAGCATATGGATCTGAACTTATATCTGTCTAATAGTATAACCTCCTCATGAACTTTCCCTCTCCTAAGAGATGCTTGAGTCTTGGTGTACAACATCCACACCTGAGGCTTCAGCATGAACAAGCTTCAGGGGAGCACTTTATCAAGTCATATTCATTGCTCAAAAGGGCTGTACTTTTCAACCTTTTCAGTATTGTCCCAACAGCACCCTCCAAGCCCTTTCTTTAGTCTTTCATCTTTTTCAAATAGTCCATTTAGGAAAATCTGTTGGAATGGTCACACACACAAGCCAATTGGCTCCATTGGGTGGTGATTGCTGGAAACAGGCCTGATGCTTTAACAGTTGTCTTGGTTAGACTGATTTGGTGTGTTTCTTTCATAGACAGTTTCAGATATCTGTAAGTATCCTGCAGAATTCAAAGAAAGGGAATGCATGGAGGATGTGATGGGATGGGGAAATCTCAGCTTGAATCAGAGACTCCTTAGCTGGTGGGAAAGCAGGCAGTTCAACTAGACCTTTATCACAGAATATAAAGGCTATGACAGAATGGCTGCATGGGAATGTTGCAGGGAATACCCAGACTGGCCATTTCATGGACAACTGTTCTTTGAGAATCTGAAGCCTTTTATAGCTGACTAGTGTGGGTGGTTCTTCTACCTGGATTTACTTTTCCATCTGTTGCCAGCTGACATCTATACTGGGGAACTGGAGATGAGATCTCATGGTCTGCTTGCTTGCTTTTCTTTCTTTCTTTCTTTCTTTCTTTCTTTCTTTCTTTCTTTCTTTCTTTCTTTCTTTCTTTCTTTCTTTCTTTCTTTCTTTCTTTCTT